TGAATGTGGGCCTATCATTGATTCACCTTCAGATAGCTCGATGAATGCTTCAATATTAAATTATGTTTTAACCTTTTATTCGATTGGGTCTTGAGTTGGTAAAAGTCGCGCGACTAAAAATAAAGTAAAAATAATGGTCGTTTTTCCTTGCGTCATTATCCATTTTAATGCTCAGGCTTCCACACTAATCCACTTTAACATTTCTCGTTAATTGCATGCTTATAATGTAAAAACACGCATTTAAAAAGATAGTACAGCCCTTCTGTTTCACGTGAAGACGGGGATCAGCGAAGCTGTTATTTTTACGACGTCTAAGACAATGCCTAGAGGACGAAGTCTGGGACGACCTCAAGGACCACTTCTAGGACGACCTCGAGGACGACTTCTAGGACAACCTCGAGGACGACTTCTAGGGCAACCTCGAGGACGACTTCTAGGGCAACCTCGAGGACGACTTCTAGGACAACATCGAGGACGACTTCTAAGGCAACCTCGAGGACGACTTCTAAGGCAACCTCGAGGACTTCTGGGACAACCTCGAGGACGACTTCTAGGATAACCTCGAGGACGACTTCTAAGGCAACCTCGAGGGCGACTTCTAGGACAACCTCGAGGTCGACTTCTAGAACAACCTCGAGGACGACTTCTAGGGCAACCTCGAGGACGACTTCTAAGGCAACCTCGAGGACGACTTCTAAGGCAACCTCGAGGACTTCTGGGACAACCTCGAGGACGACTTCTAGGACAACCTCGAGGACGACTTCTAGGGCAACCTCGAGAACGACTTCTAGGACAACCTCGAGGTCGACTTCTAAGGCAACCTCGAGGACGACTTCTAAGGCAACCTCGAGGACTTCTGGGACAACCTCGAGGCCGATTTCTAGGACAACCTCGAGGACGACTTCTAGGACAACCTCGAGGACGACTTCTAGGGTAACCTCGAGGACGACTTCTAAGCCAACCTCGAGGACTTCTGGGACAACCTCGAGGACGACTTCTAGGACAACCTCGAGGACGACTTCTAGGGCAACCTCGAGGATGACTTCTAGGACAACCTCGAGGTCGACTTCTAAGGCAACCTCGAGGACGACTTCTAAGGCAACCTCGAGGACGACTTCTAGGACAACCTCGAGGACGACTTCTAAGGCAACCTCGAGGACTTCTGGGACAACCTCGAGGACGACTTCTAGGACAACCTCGAGGACGACTTCTAAGGCAACCTCGAGGACAACTTCTAAGGCAACCTCGAGGACGACTTCTAAGGCAACCTCGAGGACTTCTGGGACAACCTCGAGGACGACTTCTAGGACAACCTCGAGGACGACTTCTAAGGCAACCTCGAGGACGACTTCTAGGACAACCTCGAGATCGACTTCTAGAACAACCTCGAGGACGACTTCTAGGGCAACCTCGAGGACGACTTCTAAGGCAACCTCGAGGACGACTTCTAAGGCAACCTCGAGGACGACTTCTAAGGCAACCTCGAGGACTTCTGGGACAACCTCGAGGACGACTTCTAGGACAACCTCGAGGACGACTTCTAAGGCAACCTCGAGGACGACTTCTAGGACAACCTCGAGGACGACTTTTAGGACAACCTTGAGGACAACTTCTAGGACAACCTCGAGGACGACTTCTAAGGCAACCTCGAGGACGACTTCTAAGGCAACCTCGAGGACTTCTGGGACAACCTCGAGGACGACTTCTAGGACAACCTCGAGGACGACTTCTAAGGCAACCTCGAGGACAACTTCTAAGGCAACCTCGAGGACTTCTGGGACAACCTCGAGGACGACTTCTAGGACAACCTCGAGGACGACTTTAAGGCAACCTCGAGGACGACTTCTAGGACAACCTCGAGGTCGACTTCTAGGACAACCTCGAGGACGACTTCTAGGACAACCTCGAGGACGACTTCTGGGACAACCTCGAGGACGACTTCTAGGGCAACCCCGAGGACGACTCCTAGGACGACCTCGAGGATGACTTTTAGGACAATTTCGAGGACGACTTCTAGGACAACCTCGAGGACAACTTCTAGGGCAACCTCGAGGTCGACTTCTAGAACAACCTCGAGGACGACTTCTAGGGCAACCTCGAGCACGACTTCTGGGGAACCTCGAGGACGACTTCTAGGACAACCTCGATGACGATTTCTAAAACAACCTCGAGGACTTCTAGGACAATTTCGAGGACGACTTCTAGGGCAACCTCGAGGACAACTTCTAAGACAACCTCGAGGACAACTTCTAGGACAACCCCGAGGACGACTTCTAGGACGACCTCGAGGATGACTTTTAGGACAATTTGGAGGACGACTTCTAGGACAACCTCGAGGACGACTTCTAGGACAACTTAGAAGACGACTTCTAGGACAACCTCAAGGACGACTTCTAGGACAACCCCGAGGACGACTACTAGGACGACCTCGAGGACAACTTCTAAGGCAACCTCGAGGACGACTTCTAGGACAACCTCGAGGACGACTTCTAGGACAACCCCGAGGACGACTTCTAGGACAACCTCGAGGACGACTTCTAAGGCAACCTCGAGGACGACTTCTAGGACTACCTCGAGGACGACTTCTAAGGCACCCTCGAGGACGACTTCTGGGGAACCTCGAGGACGACTTCTAGTACAACCTCGATGACGATTTCTAAAACAACCTCGAGGACGACTTCTAGGACAATTTCGAGGACGACTTCTAGGGCAACCTCGAGGACAACTTCTAGTACAACCTCGAGGACAACTTCTAGGACAACCCCGAGGACGACTTCTAGGACGACCTCGAGGATGACTTTTAGGACAATTTCGAGGACGACTTCTAAGACAACCTCGAGGACAACTTCTAGGACAACCTCGAGGTCGACTTCTAGAACAACCTCGAGGACAACTTCTAGGGCAACCTCGAGCACGACTTCTGGGGAACCTCGAGGACGACTTCTAAGGCAACCTCGAGGACGACTTCTAAGGCAACCTCGAGGACTTCTGGGACAACCTCGAGGACGACTTCTAGGACAACCTCGAGGACGACTTCTAGGGCAACCTCGAGAACGACTTCTAGGACAACCTCGAGGTCGACTTCTAAGGCAACCTCGAGGACGACTTCTAAGGCAACCTCGAGGACTTCTGGGACAACCTCGAGGCCGATTTCTAGGACAACCTCGAGGACGACTTCTAGGACAACCTCGAGGACGACTTCTAGGGTAACCTCGAGGACGACTTCTAAGCCAACCTCGAGGACTTCTGGGACAACCTCGAGGACGACTTCTAGGACAACCTCGAGGACGACTTCTAGGGCAACCTCGAGGATGACTTCTAGGACAACCTCGAGGTCGACTTCTAAGGCAACCTCGAGGACGACTTCTAAGGCAACCTCGAGGACGACTTCTAGGACAACCTCGAGGACGACTTCTAAGGCAACCTCGAGGACTTCTGGGACAACCTCGAGGACGACTTCTAGGACAACCTCGAGGACGACTTCTAAGGCAACCTCGAGGACAACTTCTAAGGCAACCTCGAGGACGACTTCTAAGGCAACCTCGAGGACTTCTGGGACAACCTCGAGGACGACTTCTAGGACAACCTCGAGGACGACTTCTAAGGCAACCTCGAGGACGACTTCTAGGACAACCTCGAGATCGACTTCTAGAACAACCTCGAGGACGACTTCTAGGGCAACCTCGAGGACGACTTCTAAGGCAACCTCGAGGACGACTTCTAAGGCAACCTCGAGGACGACTTCTAAGGCAACCTCGAGGACTTCTGGGACAACCTCGAGGACGACTTCTAGGACAACCTCGAGGACGACTTCTAAGGCAACCTCGAGGACGACTTCTAGGACAACCTCGAGGACGACTTTTAGGACAACCTTGAGGACAACTTCTAGGACAACCTCGAGGACGACTTCTAAGGCAACCTCGAGGACGACTTCTAAGGCAACCTCGAGGACTTCTGGGACAACCTCGAGGACAACTTCTAGGACAACCTCGAGGACGACTTCTAAGGCAACCTCGAGGACAACTTGTAAGGCAACCTCGAGGACTTCTGGGACAACCTCGAGGACGACTTCTAGGACAACCTCGAGGACGACTTTAAGGCAACCTCGAGGACGACTTCTAGGACAACCTCGAGGTCGACTTCTAGGACAACCTCGAGGACGACTTCTAGGACAACCTCGAGGACGACTTCTGGGACAACCTCGAGGACGACTTCTAGGGCAACCCCGAGGACGACTCCTAGGACGACCTCGAGGATGACTTTTAGGACAATTTCGAGGACGACTTCTAGGACAACCTCGAGGACAACTTCTAGGGCAACCTCGAGGTCGACTTCTAGAACAACCTCGAGGACGACTTCTAGGGCAACCTCGAGCACGACTTCTGGGGAACCTCGAGGACGACTTCTAGGACAACCTCGATGACGATTTCTAAAACAACCTCGAGGACTTCTAGGACAATTTCGAGGACGACTTCTAGGGCAACCTCGAGGACAACTTCTAAGACAACCTCGAGGACAACTTCTAGGACAACCCCGAGGACGACTTCTAGGACGACCTCGAGGATGACTTTTAGGACAATTTCGAGGACGACTTCTAGGACAACCTCGAGGACGACTTCTAGGACAACTTAGAAGACGACTTCTAGGACAACCTCAAGGACGACTTCTAGGACAACCCCGAGGACGACTACTAGGACGACCTCGAGGACAACTTCTAAGGCAACCTCGAGGACGACTTCTAGGACAACCTCGAGGACGACTTCTAGGACAACCCCGAGGACGACTTCTAGGACAACCTCGAGGACGACTTCTAAGGCAACCTCGAGGACGACTTCTAGGACTACCTCGAGGACGACTTCTAAGGCACCCTCGAGGACGACTTCTGGGGAACCTCGAGGACGACTTCTAGTACAACCTCGATGACGATTTCTAAAACAACCTCGAGGACGACTTCTAGGACAATTTCGAGGACGACTTCTAGGGCAACCTCGAGGACAACTTCTAGTACAACCTCGAGGACAACTTCTAGGACAACCCCGAGGACGACTTCTAGGACGACCTCGAGGATGACTTTTAGGACAATTTCGAGGACGACTTCTAAGACAACCTCGAGGACAACTTCTAGGACAACCTCGAGGTCGACTTCTAGAACAACCTCGAGGACAACTTCTAGGGCAACCTCGAGCACGACTTCTGGGGAACCTCGAGGATGACTTCTAGGACAACCTCGAAGACGATTTCTAGGACAACCTCGAGGATGACTTTTAGGACAATTTCGAGGACGACTTCTAGGGCAACCTTGAGGACAACTTCTTAGACAGCCTTGAGGACAATTTCTAGGACAACCCCGAGGACGACTTCTAGGACGACCTCGAGGATGACTTTTAGGACAATTTCAAGGACGACGTCTAGGACAACCTCGAGGACGACTTCTAGGACAACCTCGAGGACGACTTCTAGGACAACCTCGAGGACGACTTCTAGGACAACCCCGAGGACGACTTCTAGGACGACCTCGAGGACGACTTCTAAGGCAACCTCGAGGACGACTTCTAGGACAACCCCGAGGACGACTTCTAAGGCAACCTCGATGACGACTTCTAGGACAACCTCGAGGACGACTTCTAGGACAACCCCGAGGACGATTTCTAGGACAACCTCGAGGACGACTTCTAAGGCAACCTCGAGGACGACTTCTAGGACAACCTTGAGGACGACTTCTAGGACAACCCCGAGGACGACTTCTAAGGCAACCTCGAGGACGACTTCTAGAACAACCTCGAGGACGACTTTTAGGGCAACCTCGAGGACGACTTCTAGGACAACCCCGAGGACGACTTTTAGGACGACCTCGAGGACGACTTCTAGGACAACCTCGGGGACGACTTCTAAGGCAACCTCGAGGACTTCTGGGACAACCCCGAGGACGACTTATAGGACAACCTCGAGGACGACTTCTAAGGCAACCTCGAGGACAACTTCTGGGACAACCCCGAGGACGACTTATAGGACAACCTCGAGGACGACTTCTAAGGCAACCTCGAGGACGACTTCTAGGACAACCTCGACGACGACTTCTAGGACAACCTCGAGGATGACTTCTAGGACAACCTCGAGGACGACTTCTAGGGCAACCTCGAGGACGACTTCTAGGACAACCCCGAGGACGACTTCTGGGACAACCTCGAGGACTTCTGGGACAAGCTCGAGGACGACTTCTAGAACAACATCGAGGACGACTTCTAGGACCACCTCGAGGACGACTTCTAGGACAACCTCGAGAACGACTTCTAGGACAACCTCGAGGACGACTTCTAGGACAACCTCGAGGACGACTTCTAGGACAACCTCGAGGACAACTTCTAAGGCAACCTCGAGGACGACTTCTAAGGCACCCTCGAGGACGACTAGGACAACCTCGAGGACGACTTCTAAGGCAACCTCGAGGACGACTTCTAAGGCAACCTCGAGGACGACTTCTAAGGCACCCTCGAGGACGACTTCTAGGACAACCTCAAGGACGACTTCTAGGACAACCTCGAGGACGACTTCTAGGACAACCTCGAGGACGACTTCTAGGACAACCTCGAGAACGACTTCTAAGGCAACCTCGAGGACGACTTCTAAGGCACCCTCGAGGACGACTTCTAGGACAACCTTGAGGACGCCTTTTAGGAAAACCTCGAGGACGACTTCTAGGACAACCTCGAGAACGACTTCTAGGACAACCTCTAGGACTACTTCTAGGACAACCTCGAGGACGACTTCCAGGACAACCTCGAGGACGACTTCTAGGACAACCCCGAGGACGACTTCTAGGACAACCTCGAGGACGACTTCTAGGACAACCTCGAGGACGACTTCTAAGGCACCCTCGAGGACGAATTCTAAGGCACCCTCGAGGACGATTTCTAGGACAACCCCGAGGACGACTTCTAGGACAATCCCGAGGACGACTTCTAGGACAACCTCGAGGACGACTTCTAGGACAACCTCGAGGACGACTTCTAGGACAACCTCGAGCACGACTTCTAGGACAACCTCGAGGACGACTTCTAGGACAACCCCGAGGACGACTTCTAGGACAACCTCGAGGACGACTTCTAGGACAACCTCGAGGACGACTTCTAAGGCAACCTCGAGGACGACTTCTAAGGCAACCTCGAGGACAACTTCTTGGACAACCTCGAGGACGACTTCTAGGACAACCTCGAGGAAGACTTCTAGGACAACCTCGAGGACGACTTCTAGGACAACCTCGAGGACGACTTCTAGGACAACCTCGAGGACGACTTCTAAAACAACCCCGAGGACGACTTCTAAAACAACCCCGAGGACGACTTCTAGGACAACCTCGAGGACGACTTCTAAGGCACCCTCGAGGACGACTTCTAGGACAACCTCGAGGACGACTTCTAGGACAACCTCGAGGACAACTTCTAGGACAACCTCGAGAACGACTTCTAGGACAACCTCGAGGACGACTTCTAGGACAACCCCGAGGACGACTTCTAGAACAACATCGAGGACGACTTCTAGGACAACCTCGAGGACGACTTCTAGGACAACCTTGAGGACGACTTCTAGGACGACCTCGAGGACGACTTCTAGGAGAACCTCGAGGACAACTTCTAGGACAACCTCGAGGACGACTTCTAGGACAACCTCGAGGACGACTTCTAGGACAACCTTGAGGACGACTTCTAGGACAACCTCGAGGACGACTTCTAGGACAACCTCGAGGACGACTTCTAGGACAACCTTTAGGACGACTTCTAGGACAACCTCGAGGACGACTTCTAAGGCAACCTCGAGGACGACTTCTAGGACAACCTCGCGGACGACTTCTAGGACAACCTCGAGGACGACTTCTAGGACAACCTCGAGGACGACTTCTAAGGCAACCTCGAGGATGACTTCTAAGACAACCTCGAGGACGACTTCTAGGACAACCTCGAGAATGACTTCTAGAACAACCTCGAGGACGACTTCTAGGACGACCCCGAGGACGACGTCTAGGACAACCTCGAGGACGACTTCTAGGACAACCTCGAGGACGACTTCTAGGTCAACCTCGAGGACGACTTCTAGGACAACCTCGAGGACGACTTCTAAGGCAACCTCGAGGACGACTTCTAGGACAACCTCGAGGACGACTTCTAGGACAACCTCGAGGACGACTTCTAGGACAACCTCGAGGACGACTTCTAGGACAACCTCGAGGACGACTTCTAAGGCAACCTCGAGGACGACTTCGAGGACGAGAAATCGGCGGTCGTATTTTCGCACTCATCAGAGCCTTGCCAGAAGCCCACAGGCATCCAAGAAGCTGAACACAGTCTTTCGGAGACGTGTGCACGTAGATGGTGGACCCTTGGGGAACAGCATATCCACGAGGGTGGGTGAAACACCGAGGTTCTTCAGTGAAGCTAGAAGGACGGTTCTTTCTGTATTGTAGTGTCCACATTCAAAAAATATGTGCGTCAGCGTTCCTGGTTGATCGCAGTGCTCGCAGAAGGGGCTGGTTGTTTTTTTGATGCGGTGCAGGTTCACTTGCGTGTACGCGCAGTGTGCTCGTAAGCGGTGGAGAAGGGAAGCGAACTTCCGTGTTAGGCCACGCGTACAAGCTGGAGGAGGAGGTTCATCAGACGCCACACTGGAAACGGGATGCTTGTGTTGTATCCAAGTCTTAATAGCCAATCTCGGGTCAGAGTGGCTGGGGAGGTTCAACGTCGCAGTGGGCAGTTTTAGAGCGGTTGAGGCAAGATGGTCAGCCATCTCATTTCCGGGTAAGCCAATGTGCGAAGGTATCCACTGTACTCGCAGATTGGAGCCATGGGAGACAAGTAGGTGACCCAGCCTAATTATTTCACGAACCAAATCTGGATTGGCGCCTTTGCTGCTGAGGATATTATGGACCGCACACCGAGAGTCTGTTGCCAAAAGCCAGTTATTTGGTGGTTTCGTCGTGATGTGAAGAAGAGCCGCGTGGATTCCACTCAGCTCAGCTGTAGTCGACGACACGGCATGGTCGAACCGTCCTGACCATGAGCAGGGTTCCGATGGGATGTGGTAAGCTGCAGATGCGACATCATGAATGAAGTCGACAGAGCCATCAGTATAAATGGCCGTAAACGAGGAATGTCGAGACGTCATCACATCCTCTGTCAGGGCTCGACTAACCACACAGGGGTGTCGTGATTTTCCATGGAAACCCGGGATGTCCTCGTAGATGGTGAACGGGTGCTTGCTCCACGGGGAGTCAACTGGAGGAGAATGGACGAAGGGTATGAAGCCGAGAGCCTCAACTAGAGAGGTGCAGTGACCGCCATATTGTGAAAGATGACGCTGTTGCATGTCAGTGAACAGCGAGACACCACTGGTCGACTCAGCAAGCCGACCGAGATGTTTAAAAGCACGGTTCACAGCGTGTAAAGCTACCGGCATCTCTCGGCCCTTAATCCACGTTGCATCGATTCGGGAGTACGAGGGAAGACCAAGAGCCATTCTTATTCCGGCTCGGTGGCATCGTTCCAGCTGATCCCATAGAGATCGCGTAGGCGGCAAATATGACGCCGCATAAAGAATGCGGGAAAGGTTAAGCGCCCGGTGCACGCATAGTAGGGCTTTAGGGGCCGATCCCCACTCAAGTCCACGAAGTCGACGAATAAGAGATGTCGTCATCGCCGTCTGACGTACAAGATTCGTTACGTGCCGACGCCAACATAATCGGGAATCAAGATCGACTCCCAAGTATCGATAGCTACGCGCGCGCGGTACTCGAGTCCCACATAAAGTAAGCCGCGGAAATCCATGACGAAAGGGACGGCTGGAACAAGCGAGCACCGCTGTTTTTTGCGCTGAGACGGAAAGTCCGAGGTCTTCTAGCATGTTTGCAACACGCGCGAGGGATATTTGCATGAAGGGACGTAGAATGCGTCGATCAGAGTGGGAAGCCCACGAACAGATGTCATCTGCATAGATGATAATACCACTAGGGTGTGGTAATTTATGCATGCATAAAGGTATTGTTGTCATTACGATGTTAAAAAGCACTGGACTAAGGCAACTACCTTGAGGTAACCCACGCAACAGTGGATGCACGGCTCCCGTAGTCTTGCCCAAGCAAACACTAATTGTCCTGTTGCTCAGAAACTCTAGAACCGAGTCAAAAGCTCGTTCAACATCAAGAAACACTGCCAAAGCAGTGTCTCCTCGTGAACGAGCGTCTTCCAGCGCTGATGTAAGGCTCGCAATACAGTCAGCAGTGCAGCGTCCACTTCTGAATCCCGCTATTTCAGGTGGCAGTGCTTCAATGTCGTCAAGGTACCACTGGAGACGCGTAAGCACCAAGCGTTCTAGAAGTTTCCCAGCACACGAGGTCAAAGATATTGGGCGGTACGAGGACAATTCCGACGAAGGCTTGCCTCGTTTTAAAATAGGGGTTACTACAGCATGCTTCCATTCTTGCGGAAGAATACCAGTAGTCCATGCCAAATTTAAGCGCTCGAGCAAGACGACGCGTGACTTGTCACTCAGGTTACGCAATGCTTGGTAAGTAATGCCATCAGACCCAGGAGCACTGTGGCGTTTGCATTTCCTAAGAGCCGCATCCAGTTCCGACATATTGAAAGGATGATCCATACTCTCCGGACTCCGTGCAGGACCAGTCAGTGATCGAGGATATGAAGATCCAGAAGGGCGTTGGGGTACAATGAAGCGCACCGCAAAATCATCGGCAAGTCGTGATAATTCAATGCCAGTTTTAAGACTGAGGGCGATGAACACATCTCGAGGTGTTGGAGAGCAGCCCATACCTCTCAGTACTTTGTAGATCTTTGGCTTAGGTGTACATGGAGTTAATGAAGAAGCAAACTGACGAAATTGTCGACGGCGAAGTACGCGAGTATGACGGAGTAAAGCTGACGTAACACGACGACAGTCTATCCAATGGGAGACCTTGCCAGATCGGCGCGCACGACGCTGAGTGCGGCGGCGAACAGCACGTAAGCGTACGAACTTCAAATCGGGGGACGGCTGAGATATCCTTAAAGATATTTTATATGTGGATTGAACGAGACATGCGGGAATATCTTTTAATATATCCTCTGACGGCTCAAGAAAGCGAAAATTTGCGCGAAATACGTCCCAGTTGGTTACACTGTATTGACGACGTGGGAGGCGGGTCACTTCGGGTATATTCGTCAAAATTGGAAGATGATCGCTTCCACGTGTGTCCGCATCCAACGACCAGTACACGTCTAGATTGGGGGAAGCGAGAGTAAGGTCCAGCACGCTAGGTTCTCCGCGATGACCAAAAAATGTAGGAGAGCCGTCATTCAGAATAATCAAATCTGTTGATTCAATCTCATCTGCGAGAGTCGTGCCCCGAGGCGTCGTGCGTTTACTACCCCAGAGAGGATGGTGTGCGTTAAAATCTCCGCATATAAGGAGATGACCAGGAAATTGAAGACATAGGCTACTAATGCACTTCGCATCAAAGCGACCAGTAGGACATATATATACAGACACAATGGTCATCTTAAAGGAGCGAAATATGACCGTGCATGCTGCAAATTCAGCTGTTTCTGTACACAGATGGGACACATCTCCTGCAGCTTGCTGCACACTAGAGTGAACAAAGAGTGATGCCCGTGACGAGCTGTTAGGCGTGGCCGCCGCGCTAGGGTAATAGACATAGGGCTGAATTCGAGAGCCATGTCTGAGGCGGCATTCCGAAATTGCGAGTATAGGCACCGGCTGAGATGAAAGGTAATACTGCAACTCTGCTAATTTAGAAGTGATGCTGCGGGCGTTCCATTGTAAGATAGATGGGCAGGGAGCCTTAGAAATAAAAATGAGGAGAGTAAAAACTTTCATTGCAGAAAACTTTTGACCAGGGGCTCTATAAGTGTGATAAAATTCAGGAGCTGGTTTGCCCATGGATACTGTAGAAGCGGGAGAAACTGTCGCGCTATGACCAGCATTTGGCGCACGAAGCTACCTAACGAGGAAGTGAGGGTGCTTGGATTTTGGAGGGACGGTATCGCCTTCTGTCCAACACTAAGAGGAGCTTGAGTGGTCGGGAGTACAGGTCCGGCCTAAACTGGTGGTGACGACGGTGGGGGCTCGTTTTGCAGCGCTGCTTTGTAGCTTTGTCGCATGTTGCTCTCGCCAGAGGAGACAAGGACAGCTGCTTCCCTAGGCGGAGGCTCTGTGTCCATTGGCTTCGGGGCTTCGGCGACAAGCGAGGATGGCGGGTCTTGTTTGTCTGCAATAGGTTGTTCTGCCTGGCGTCGTCGGGAATGACGTCGTCTCCGTTGAAATTTTTCAGTTAGAATAGCCATCTCTGTTGCAGCTTCGGCTCGTGGAGCCGCCTGCTCGGCCGTACGTTTGTCAACTTGGGCTCGTGCTTATGCGAAGGACACATTGTTCTCGCAGCGATAGCGACACACGGAGCGCTCAGCTTGCCAGAATGGGCACTGTTGGGATGTTGTTTCATGTGGTTTCTTGCAGTTGACGCAAAGAGTGCTCGAGCCTTTGCATTCCGTAGTTGCGTGAGCTTCTGCGCATCGGAGGCAAGTTAGCGCCAGCTTACATACAGCCGCAACATGGCCA